TGTACTAACGGTTGAGTCCTTACTGTTCCATGACATTTGGTCTCAATGTGACTTAAATGAAAATTAAAGATTAAGCAGCAGGCCATGTAAACAATATCCGGCTAACTTCAGTATCTTATTTGCCGAGGTAAAAGAAGAATCTGAGCAAGAATTTTCTAAGGTAGAAAATAAATGTTACCCCTATAATAACAGCACTAAGAATTTTTAAAAAGTAATGAAAATGGGTGAAGGAAGGTGTACCTTTAATGGGGATGAATTAAAATTCCAAAAGCCTCACCCCATGTGAATGTTTCTGTCCCAGGTCTTTATAGGAGCCCCGAGGTTGCTCCTCTGGGCAGTCGATGGCTGTCCTGGGAAACCCTCGGAGCCTCAGCCCAGGCTCTGCCTCCCCGCATTAGTACGATGGTGATTTCACTTAGAAATAGAGGACGGTTCCTGATGTGGATGAACATCTTGGGCGCAAATAATTTAGATAATTTGTTTTCTAATGCATTTTTAAGACTTTAATTTGGATCTGTTTTAATTTTATAGAGAATAGTCACATATTTTACTAAAAAATTAAATAACCACTCATTGCAGTGTCAAATTATGATTTACTGACATTGGCTTATGCTCTGAGCAATATCACACTGCTTACATTTTGATTATACAGACAGAAATTCTGAAAATCTTAGCTCATTGAAAATGACCACAGTTATTTTTTCAGAAATAAATCCATATACATCTCCAGATTTCCAGACACCAATTGCCTTGTCATTTACGGTGAACAAGTCCCTTGCTTTTGACCTTGTGAATGACATAAGCAGACAACTACTCGGGCGTAAGCAGAATCAGGGAACTTGATATCAGAAAAACAAGGACAGCACCTACGTTCCCGATGAGGAAGCGCATTCCTGGGGGGTTTGCAATCAGCAGGGATAGTAGCTCCCTTAGGTGACGCCCACCCTGCCCTTCAACAGGGGAAACAGCCAGGCCTCGACAGACGTGTAGAGACTCATGATCACGTTAAGTTCCTTAACAGCAGGACCGGCCTAGGGAGGAGTATTTTGGTAACAATGTGAGACCGCGATTCCACGGCTCTTCCTCCTGAGAAGAAATGAAAACCTCTGTCCTTCCCCTTAGTGCCAGTTAAACACACAGCGCCTGGTACGGCCCAAGGTGACCGTTGGGACTGTTCGCACAGTGTCTTCTCGCTGAACGTTTCTAACACGGTTCCCTCTCTCTCTCTCTCTCTCTCTCTCTCTCTCTCTCTCGCTCCTTTGTTGACCGGCCCGGCGAGTCTCTGCCGCCGGCCTGCTGTCTGTCTGGTTGGCCGTGGTCGCACTGTCGTAATTCCCTGTCCTTTAGCATTGAAAAATTTACACAGCGCTCCCAACATAATGCTCCTCTAGCCTTCCCAACTGCCCGGAGAGCATGAAATCCCGTTTCATAGATGAAGAAAATGAAAGTTAGAAACTAAATGACCTTCCCGAAGCTGTGTGGTGGCTAAAGGAACTCGCAATTCCTCCTCTCGGTGTCACCCGCCACCTACGTCCCTGCTGGCCGTGTGTCACCTCAGGCTAACCCGGGACCAGCCTGATAATCCAGGGTGTTGCCCCGTTTTAGTCTAAAATAATGATTGGTATGACCCGGGTGAAACCACAGGGGACTGTTTCTAAACTGGGCTACTTGCTCATGGTGTTTTCCTGCACGTGTAAAACAGTCACTAACGCACCTTTCTTATGAAAAAGCTGTCGGCTGTGTGTCAGAATACCTGTGCCTCTCACCACAGGCCCGACTCGTTGAACCTCTGAATAATTTGAATTCCGAAGAGGAGATGGAGGCTCCATGAGGAATCTGAAGACAAGAACTTTAAAAATTTCCTTGTAATGTAACAACCCCAAGTTTGCGCTGAGACTGCTCTGTAAGAAAGGGAAAGGGGAGGTCTCCCAGGAACACCCGGGGGCCGGGAAATCTGCGCACACGTCGTATTGGAAGCTCGTGCCACGAGGAGGGCGTCCGTGTACAAGGGGCTGTGAGGGGCTAAGGTGAGGAGCGGAACGAGTGAAGGTGCTGGACCGAGCCCGACGGCTGCTGGACCGAGCGTAAGTTAGGGTTGGAGTCGAGGTCTAGTGGAAACAAGGACCCAGGTTGAAACATGGGTTCGGGTTGGAATGGGGGACCGACAGCTACCCCATCTAAGGGAGGTGGTGAGCTTGGTTGGGACTTGTTGAGCTTGGGGCGAGCGATGACGACTTCTGGGCCCTGGGATGGGGTGCAGGACTGGAGACGTGTCACTGGAGAGCAGATGAAACCCAGCAGGGCGACCGAGCGGGAGAGAGGCCGGACAGCCTCGCAGGGCCTGGGGGCGCTCGGGGGCCACGGCCCTGGGAGAACATGACTGGAGAGCCAGAGGCAGCCTTGCAGGGTGATGGTCAGCTGTGGGCACAGACAGGACTCCCCGCCCAGTAGGTGAGGGCTGTGCTCCCCCAGTTCCTTCTCTCTGCTCCCCAGCACCCCAGACCTCCAGGTGCTCCAGTCTGTGCCCACTCACTCACTGGTTCCAAGTCCCCCACGTTTGGCCCACCCCCTCGTGCTAAGTTCAGGCTGATGGAACAGGTTCCGAGGCCAGGACCGCACTGTCCCAGACCCTGACGGGCAGGCAGATCTGACTCTCTCCACGCTGGCCCGACTACCTGCCCAGGCGCTGGGTAGTTTACAGTTGCTCAGGAACGTTCAGCGGAGCAATGAACGAACAAATAAATGAGCAGAAAATAAAATATTTGAGCAACACTCAATTATGGGGGTGCAGAGAGCTTCGGTCAGGGAAGGAAACAAGTCGTTCCATCTTCGGCGGTGGTGTCACCGGCGCCTGCTCCTGCCTGAGTGGACCTGCTGCCCCAGGACCTGCCCTGGGAGGTCGGTCAGGGCTGTTCCCGCCCAGGGCTCTGGGCTCTCCTGCCCCTGGGACCTGCTACAGCGCCCGGAGGAGGGGTCACTGCACCGCCCGTCCCTCAACTTGTGTTTCTCTTTGGGATGTAAATTATTCCCCTGCGAGGCCATTTCCCACAGAGTTTTCCAGTTTCCCAGCAAACGTGACCTCCCGCAGCCCTAAACCCCTCACCCGCTCGCCCCTCACCTGCCCGGTCAGTTCTCGGCCCAGGTCCTGGTGGTACCTGGAGCCCCGTTATTGGCCACGGCGCCTCCCTTCCCTCCAGGGGCCCCGCTGCCCCTCTGCTGACCGCCAGAGAGAAGCACACGTGCTGGCCTGGCCCCTAACGTGCCCGTGGCCTCTTCCCCCAACTCCTCCGGCCAAACCCTCACCTGCCATCGGAGCCC